TTGCATCAAATTCCATTAAATCACCAATCCACACCTCCTCCTCTGCTCTCACAAGGATAAACTTTGTCTCAAGATGGCCAAATCCTTGCAAATATTATATTTCTCCTCTTCTTCAAACAGTCATGACCAATGTTCAGCAGAGCAGACACACAGACAGACAGCCATCCAATATCAATGTGCAAATTCTGTCACTCTAATATTCTACAGATGGTAAACACACCATCAACTCAACAGTTCTTAAAATCATCCAAAACCCCCCAAAAGTCAATTGTTTAAAAATATGCAAATGTCAAAACCCCTCAAGTTTTATAGAAAATGGAAAGAACTACATGAAAATGTTCATTTAAGATCGAAAGTCAATCTAATTCGAAATATGGTAATGCAACACAAGGGTCTCTCCATCGCCAGAGTCAACAACAAAAATTGTAGTTCCGTAAAGTTTGAAACTCTAGTTCATGAATGGCTTGGTGGATGCATTCGAAGGCAGTTGCGTTGAGTAGAACACCCATTAAGAATATTTTGTTCATGGGAGAGTATCAACCATACAACCACACAAACAGCTTCCTGATTATTGTGGGAAAACATATTTCTTACCCAGCATATACAGATCAATAGATTTTGATAGTGTCAAGATGCCGTCAATCATTTTCAATCCTTTTAAACCAAACTAACACTATCCATCCTCCAAGAGCAAGATTTGAGCGATCGAGTAGGTATGTTGTTTTCATCTCTATTTGCAATATACCCGAAATATCAAGGCGAGGGCAACAGAAATGGGCTTAACACACTGCAACTATGCCGGGAATCAAACCTGCGAGCACAAGGCTCACTGCCTTACTGAAACATAAAGACATCAGGCCAAAATGGGCCAAGGATCAAACTCGGACCTGTCAATGACAACCAATCACATCAAACATGGGTCTACCCAGTACATTAACACTTTAACCATGTGGGGAATTGAACCCAGGCATTTAGTGTGACAAGTGAATGCTCTAACTACAAAGCTACCCAAATGCCCATACTGAAAAAGTCCACGACAACCAAACACATCAACCGCTGGGCTACCTTGTACATCATTAAATCAGGCTTCACAAACCATGTACACGATGAGGTCTTCAGTGTGACCAACAAATGCTTTAACCAGAAACACCCCTACAACCACCATGACACCTGATATTCAACACTTTAATAATACATTCACAACCGATTATTTTCTTGTACTGACATTAAAACTTGACATCCCTCTCCACGGAGCCAAATCACTTTAAGATAGCAACAATACCAACAAAACAAATTTCATAACCTGATTATCTTACGATATTCACTCTAACACCTAAATCAAACTTGAACACAAATATTAAATGCTCCCCCAAAGAGCTTCTTACCTTCATAATCCAACCTGAGCTCCATTGAGAAGCACTTGAGAAAACACAAAGACCATTTCAGCATCAGTTCCCAACTCTTCACAGCTTAATCCCAACAAACTCCATGATCTTAATGTCATTAAAGTTCTACAGGTCGTGATGACCTTAACACTTTTTGTTAGAAGGCACAGTCAGGTCTAAAGGTCAGATTTGACTTTTTAAATTAATTTGAAACGAAGACAAATGTCTTCAGAGATTTGGCAGAAATTGGAAATAAATATGGAGAGAAAACCAGATTGACATTATTGCCCAGGATTAGAGCAATGATCTTCACCAGAAAGACTCAGAATATTACCCCGTCAACTTTCTTTTATCAACTTGAAAAATTATGCCTGAGATCAATACAATTTTATGTCTTAAGACCTGAAAATCTCCCAAGCAGACAACCGTTTATGAAAGTATGATAAACAATATTTCTACTCAATTAAAACTGAAACATTTATTCTTTCTAACAACCACACAAAGAATCCTTTAGTTTCAACAAAAGAATATGACCTTTACAGCCATGTGTGAAAACCAAACTGTCAAAAACATTGAATTTTAGTGGCATGACATTTGAAACACAACCCACGATAAAACTGAAAACTATGTCACCTTTAAAATGTCTTCCACACAATAGAGTGCAGAAAAATTGAAATATTTGTTCTTCACATGAGCTGAAAACTTCCTTGACAAAAGTACATATCAACACAACTGAGGAAATAACAAATATTTGAACATATTGGATAAGTTATGTTACTCATGATTATCAAGCATAAATAATTAACTCCATTAACTGGACAATATAGAAACCCGCGGCAAGGAAAACCTAGTCGATAAACTCTTCATTCCCAGCAAAATAATTTCACTGCATCTCCTGTATATTTTTCCTAAATTTTCATACACGACAGAATGTATTCCATACGAGACAATGAGATGTTATCAGTTCCATTGTATAATCATCTGGAACTCTAAATTGTTAATAAGGCCTAGAGCCTTGTCAAATAATGACAGTTCCAAGTTGAAATTTTGGAAAAAGTAAGAAATATGTTTTTTTCAGAAATAAACTCAAATTAAACAAAATCAGTTTCCCTGCTGCGGAGTTTCCGTCATTGACCATTGTGTGTTTCCGACTGTTTGAAGTGACAAGTTACGGCAGAGCTCGGAGAAGAGATTGCCACACTGTTCCTACGTTTATGTTGATCTAACGCGTGCTGACGCCACCACTCCTAACCATCTTCCTCCTAACTCAATCTCATACTCACGATTTCTTTTGGCCAACAGTTTGCAATTGTCACAATCCTAAAAGCGCCCACAAATCCTAACACCAAATCGTGAATTAATTTTTTGGGCTGGCAAAAGGTTTCCTTTTCAATAAAAACGTCTTGTCATTCATACGACTAATAACTATTCTCTCCCTCCGTTTTTTGCGAAAACCAACCTGAGAGAGGCAATACAGATTGGTAAATAGATTGTGTTAATCAATACGATGGAGGGACCCTGTGCAGGAATCTCGTCCTATGAAGGCATGCGGACGTCAATAAAAATGCAACTTGATGACCAGTAGGCGATTAAGTCAGGTTGGTCCTTCTTAAAGACGCAGCCAACAATACCATGAGAGTGTGGCAGCTGCCAGTGAAATACTTCGTAACAATGGAAATTGAAGAAGGGCTGAGAAAGTTCAATGCCGACTAACAAGTCGCTAATGCTGTCTGAGATGACCAATTAAGATGCTATTGACCAATGAATTCAGCCAACACCTCCAAATCGTAAAAAGATTATTCCATGTACACTGCTGGCCCAAGTGGTCGTAGTGTTATTTAACCATATTGGGGAGTGGGGACTTTCCCACACCCAAATGACTAACATGTCTCCCAGAAACTTGACTCGCAGGCCAAGGTCCGACAGTTCGAAACAATCATTGGTTGAAGATGCTGATGAGAAAATAGCAAAGCAGCTGATGGGGAGAATCTTGCCTTTGTTAGATCAGATGTTTATCAGAACAACCATAATTACTCCACAGGGGAGGGAATAAGTGGGGAGGAGGGGGAGAGTGTGGCTGGACATTTTTAAAGTTATGGTTTTAAAGTCTAATTGAATGAATGAGTATGGTTTCATGCCGCTTTCAGCAATTTTCCATCCATATCTGTGTGACACCAAGAACGGGTTTCACATATATTAACGACTACCCTTTCGAATGTTGTTAGGAGTGAGTGAGTGAGTTCTTACCAAGTTCTTATTTAAACAGAAAGTAGAGTAGGAGATAATTGCATTAACTTTGAAGAACAAAGATGAAAACTGACCTCTCACCCTCAGTCAGGAACTAATCATTCAAACCAGAGAGAGACAAAAAACTAGACCAGGCCTACCACCCTTCACAACACTAGACCAGGCCTACCTCCCTTCACAACACTAGACCAGACCTACCTCCCTTCACAACACTAGACCAGACCTACCTCCCTTCACAACACTAGACCAGGCCTACCACCCTTCACAACACTAGACCAGGCCTACCACCCTTCACAACACTAGACCAGGCCTACCACCCTTCACAACACTAGACCAGGCCTACCACCCTTCACAACACTAGACCAGGCCTACCACCCTTCACAACACTAGACCAGGCCTACCACCCTTCACAACACTAGACCAGGCCTTCCACAACAGTAGACCAGGCCTTCCACAACAGTAGACCAGGCCTACCACCCTTCACAACACAAGACCAGGCCTACCTCCATGAAAGCAGCATAAATACCAGTACTTGATGTCAAAGATCAAATTTAAACAAAAATAAACTGTTTACTTCAGTGCCATGATCGTATCTTTAGCTACTTGAAATCCTTCTGACACGAGTTTCAAATATCGACTTTTAACTGGTGCCAAAGTGAGTTGGGGTTTACATTTGCCTTTTAAAATTACTTGAATCATATCACAGCTTACCATCTATGGTGATATGGGAGACAATTACTGCCATGGTGGATCCCAAAAGAGGGATATGGTGCTGCCTGACCAACAATCGCATGAAGGGTCAATCTGGACCAAGGCCCATAACCAACAAAGCAGGGTAGAAAAGGGAAACAACTCTGCACAAGGGTCAAGTTTTGTGCTGACCTATACCACTGGTCAGTGACACCCCACCCCACCCCACCCCACCCCACCCCACCACCCCCAACCTTAAAAACCTAAGAGCAACATATTAAACTACAACTGCTGAGGACAGGATGGTGCCACAAGCTCCCTAATCTATTTGCCTGTTGACTGGGGGAAAGAGGGAGAAAAGGAAAGTTCCAGCATGTGAATCTCCATCAATATCTCAGAAAGACTGTAATGAATATATTGCATAAAAGTTTTTAAATTTAGAATAAAACTAAACTTAACATAATATATGCATCTTCAAGACATTACAAATATGTTATATAATATTTAAAAATTCCCCAGGACAAAGTAATCAGCAGCATTCAACAAGGACATATAAATCTAAACTCTTGAAAAAAAATGGTCTGAAAAATTAATAAAAAAGAAATAGCTTCTCTATATTGTTGGTGCCAACGAACATGTCCAAAACTGACCAAATGCAAAATCCAAATGAGTACTCACCTCTCTATATTGTTGTGTGCTAACATCTGCTGTTCCCCGTTGGGGTAGTTGCGAGTAGAGTAGGTGTCCGAGAGTCCGCTGCGACTGTGGGGACTGGCCATGTCCAAACCACGCGTGCTCGGCACTGACCCTGACCTTGGAACGGTGCGCGGGAATCGTGGCTGCATGTCGCCTGAAAACGAGCATCATAAACGCTTTATCAATAGGACACGAAAGTGGCTATTTGACCTTTTTTGACAGAAGCAAATCAATCAATCAATCAATCTGTATTTAATCTGTAAGCCACTCACTGCTGCACTGTCGTTCGTCTTATTACACATGCTTTAATAGGCATGCCGAATCGGCGGCTCAAGGGGGGAAATCATTCCTTGATTCTATCCCATTACTTAAAACTTGATTTCTTCAGAGCACCACAAGTTAAGCACAATTATCGTCCCCGATCCTGCGGACACTTCAACCAAGTTGAGAAGATTTTTCACACAAGGCGTTTCCATATAGATGAGCCAATTACATCAATTGGTAGCAAAGACTTGGTAAACTCTATCAACACTTTCAAGAAGCATAATTAATCTTTTACACTTCATAATTTGGCATGCCTTTGATTTAAATGAGTAATATTATTATCACTGACAATTTCGTTTGAAATAGAAAACTTCCAGTTTTACAAGGGCTAAACATTCAAAAAGAACATGAAGTTAACTGAACATAATAATTAGAAGGGAAATATTATCATATAAAACCTTGTTAGATTTCATAGGAAATAACAGACATTTGATATCTGATGTGAAAATGAAAAGTACGACCGAAATACATTTTTGTTCAGTCACATTAGTAGAAATGAGATGTCAAATCAAATCACCAAAGCATGATTCTGGAAAATAATTGGGTAATCATCTTTGAAATAAACACCAATTATTTCATTATCTACATCTTATATGCAAGCAAGTGGGCTAATAAAGAGATAAGCATTTACATGTTACAATAAGACCACCCTCAGTAATGAAATTGACAATTCTCTTTGATAAAGACAACTGTCGTCACATATCATCGCGTAGGGAGGTTTTCATCAATAATTGATTTAACTGCCCAGAAATAATGAAATATGAGATACTGATTGACAGAAATAGACGGGTTCAATTCTACGACCAATTTGATCGTGATTCAGAAGGGAATTAAAAAAGTCAAATTTTACAACCCTCTCTTAATCAACATAACTTGGTGAAACATTATGCAAATTGTTGCACATTTCTATGTAACTGTAGTCCTTCATTAATAATTCACAGTCACTATCAAATTATGGTGAACTTTTCGTGGGTCAATGCAGTGAAATGTCAAACCATGGCAACTACACCGTCTTCATGAACAAGAGTTGTGATGAAACTGCTTTTGATGAAGTAGAGAAAATAAATACAGAAGACCAGTGAAGACCATTTCACACCGATTTCACTCAATATTAGATATTGATATTACCTCCAAAATACATTAACATTGACTTTAAGAAACAACACTCCCAGATAGTTTGAGATATCTTTGATCAACAAAGATGAAAACTGATCTGACTTTCAGTTAATTATTCAAAACCAGAAATTCTATTAAGATTCACTGATAGAGAATATTACTCCAGGTGGCTATAGATGCATGCAAGTTTCTTTTGTTTGTTTTTTTAACACCCTTTTAAGGGTCTTATTACACAAACATAATATTGTGTGACATATTGTGTCTACCAAGTGATTTAAAAAAGATATGTCAAAGTTCATATTTTGTAGACGCTGAGAAACATCAACAAAAACTTAAATACTAATGTCACATCAAATAGTAAACTTTTCACAAACTATCAAAAAGATCTACATATGATCAAATTTATTGAAACTGATTTGCCTTTCGTAATTACTGGATCTACTAGCATCAGTCTTCACATCCACAACTTTTTGAATTTCTGAACAATTGACTTGGCTTTGCATGTGTTTGTCATGGATGCCACCTGTGGGGCAGGATATGCTCACAGTTTCATGAACACAGGATGTCATTACATTTTAATAGATCTGTGTCACTTTCACTTCTGCGATCATCAAGAACAATAATGAAATGTCAATATAAGGTTCCTCAGATGAGCGGAATTCAACTTTAAATGGCACCTAGTCTCACTGAACAGGCAGGCCGAACAATTTGATCCAAGTTCCTCAGACAACACTTAACCTATCTCAAAGTTTATCACATATAGCAACCTAACAGTCAAGGATAACACTAATTACACAGACAATGTCTAAGTTTCAGACAAGGCACTTCATGCCATGGCTAGAATAGGCTGGAAATAACCCATTCAATTTGACAGTTACACTTTTCCCACAAGTCATAAAAACAATAAAGAGTGATACATTTAATAACTGATACGTACATCTCACATCCCACACCGACTAGACTGTCCCTACAGTTCGGGCATGAATGACATGATCGACATATCAATGACACTTGATCACACAGATCACGTGCCGTCTCCAGCTCCTTCTCAAACATCTAAATCCTCCAAATTGTCCACATGTCATCTTTCTGAGCATATTGCCAAGATGAGCCACTAGGCCGCAGGGCAATTTGGGTGTCATAGCTATCATTACCAGCGACAACCAAACAGGGTGCCATGTTATCTTCTAACAACCTCCATCGACAGTGCATGGCTTGGATATTGCTTCATTCTGGATCTACGATCAAATGTTTATTGGTTCCTGTAAACAGTTATGAATCCCTCATACAGCAATGTTTTCATATGACTGATACTGATTTTTCATTGACTCGCCTTTACAAAGTGGACGTGGAAGAAAAGAAAAATGGTTGGCTCAGTCATTGCAATTTGCTGTGTTTAGAGTTGTGCCCCTTGGGCACGCCAGAACCCTATGATTGTGGGTCTAGAGCCCGGGTCACACGGATTATGTTTCTAGGTTTGTCATACCATACCCATGCTGGTGGGTTTCACCGAAGTGGTAAACGTCTGAGACCTGCATCACTTCGGGCTTTCCTCACACATTTCTCTCACTCCAAAACATTTGCTCTTCAAAAAGTGTGGTACACAAAGTATGTGATCTTGACTACCAGTTGTCAGACTTCCATCATGGGGAAGCCTCAGTCTGAGAGAGTGGATTTGAATTCTGGATGGGACGCCAACCCCGGAAAGTACTAGAATTTATACTTGACATGGTGAGGTGAGATGAAATGGGGTTAAACATTGCGTCCAAGATTTTTGCACTTATATAGCGACGTGCATGCACGTGTGTGTGTGTGTGTGGCTGCTTGTACTAGTCCGGACTGATGCCGATTTATAGTGCTAGCTTACTGAGATACCATGCCGCAGTATACTGACTCTGAGCCGACCAGTCCTTGTTTTAGCCCCTTAATGCCGAGCGCCAGACAGGGTAACAGCAAGTACCATCTTTTAACGTCATTTGGTATGACGCGGCCGGGGATTGAACTCCGGACCTTCCGCTCTCCAGGCGGACTACTTGACATGGAAAGTGTAATCCTAAAAATAACATATGAGACATTTGCTCTTGTGTACACCAACACTTTAAAAAATAATAATTAGGAAATTACTGTCAACTTTCTGTCAGCAGGGTGACCAAAACATTTTCTGACCAATTTAAAGTTGAAACAGATCAACACATTTGCGTGGATTGATGCTCATGATATCATTCACTGGATTGTCTGTTCCAGACTCGATTATTAACAGACCACCGTCATGGAGCAGGAATATTGCTGAGTGCAGCTTTAAACAAGAAACAAACAAAACAAAAAAACATTATAAATTAATGCACCCGGTGTTTGGGAAAAGGTGAGTGTATCCTGCCCCACCCGTGGAACCCGCCTTGTGCATGATACACAAACACAGCCACAACTAGCCTCCACTCTCGTGACATATTGCCCTGTGTATATAAAAAACACATAGAAATCTACTCACTGACTTAATGCCATGGACTCCTGTCTACCTTACGGTTTCAAGTTGCTGAGGATCAAGATGTATCATCTTTTCATCACTTACAAAGTAATTTTATTTTCCTTGCGCTAACATTCAAAGATTCTTCTGAGCCACAGAGTAAGGTCATTGAAAACTATTTGTGAGGCTATTTCCATTCCATCCTTAAACAAATTGTAAATCAATATTCAAGGTCACCTGGTGGTGAGAGATGGAACTAATAACAATTCCCACAATCCTTTGATAAATCCGAGATACATAGTGTACATCGTGCCGTTAGTTTCAATTTGCAGTAGTAACTGGTGTTTTATCAAAAAATCTATCTCTTGCTGCCAGAGCGGAATAGGAATTACGTGTCAACAAGCAAACAAACTCGTTCCTTTTCCTCTAATTGGACACGTTAATGTGCCATAAATCTCCGCATCACTACCAACAAACAGAAAATTGGTCATATTTCTGGATAGAGATATCACTGAAATATTTCATCAGGATTAAACCTCAATTCAAGCCATTCCTAAAGCAGTATTCATGACATGGGAATGGACTAAAACAGAAAACAATCTTGCCACTTAGATCTGTCTTACTGCACAGCTCCAGTAAGTAGGACGAGGATGGGGATGACTGGATATCGCTTGCACACAGATCTGCTGTCTGAATGGTAAAGGACTACATGACTCGACTTAACAACTTATGCTTCGGGGAGTCTTCTTTTCAGAGTGAAACAGAATTATTATTTTTCAAAATATACCACACCACTTTTGATAGGGATATTCTTTGTTTCCATGATACACAAAAATGATTCTCATAATGTCAAATGCATATTTAAACAGACTGACTTATCTGATTATCCCTATAAGACGTTGAGTAGTATATGCTTATTTGTTGATAAGGTAACCCTATTTTACAAAAATGAAAGTTAGGTTAGAATACTTAGCAGCAGCACAGAAACATGATGGTGTTGGACACCCAAGGATAATCTTCCCAAGCTACCATATGAAGAACTGAACCCACATTAGTAGCCTGACAAGCAAACACCTAACCACATGGCTACCAGCTGGTCCCAAACTCAGGGGATAAAGTAACACTATTTTCTAAAAGCTGAGCTGATTTTTGTAAGATGGCTGATAAAACCTAAACAGACTGACAAAAGTATGCCAATAATTTTCGTAGCCATAAAACCTCCACAGAGCTAACAGATGGCAGCAAAAGACCGTAGTGAAAGCATTCTCTCTGCCGATCCACATCACAACCATACCAGCCTCATCGTCTTGCCAAAAGAAAAGGTCTCAAGTTTTTCGTCATTATTTTGCAATTATCTCCACTCTGACAGTCCTACAATGTAGCTGGCCCCAACTCTACGACGCCAGCCAGAATTCAAACAAGACTGAAATGCCAGTGAAAGACCATGCCTTCATAATATACAGACCAGGTCTCGGAAAGCACAAACTGTGCACTGCCGTGGTTATTTTGGACTGCAAGATAGAATACTTTAATCTTATGTTACAAACGGCAGACACGCCATTGGGCCAGACAACTGCCTCAGCATGTTTTTTCTGCATATTTGAAATCTCACAAGGGGTCAGTAGGATGAGACGGGGATAAGTTTGGAACCAGCTTTCTCAAACTATTATTTCTGAGAATTTACGAAGCCTCAATGGGGGTATCAGTGTCAAGAAGGGCCATGTACAACATGGTAAACAGCAGTGAGGGGAAGTCTTCCGAGGGTTAGTGATAATGCTTGGGGTATTCCAGGAAACAATAGAATCGATTTGGTGCCAGCAGTACAATTTGGAATGGTCATCAATGATTGCTTAGTATAAAAAGGTAGTTGACACAACAATTGGAACTTCTTCACAATTTTCAATAACAGTTGGAAATTTCTCAAACCAATTTGACCACATCAGGTGTATATTGCCAATCAAACCCATTCTTAATATTAACGACTTAACGGAAATAATTAAAAAAATTATTTGGATTTCTAACAGCGGGAAAAGAAAAGAAACCTATGTGTCGTGCCTGATCTCCCATACAGATTGCTTGGGATTTTTAACTTTCAAATCTCAGCTTTGTTTATTGATTTTTCAAATCAGAATTGATTGGAAATAAACTTAGCTATCATTGAGCATTATAAACCCCTCCCAGGTGAGTTATTGGACACTCACTAGGCATGGAGTTCAATGACTTTTTTATCATGGAGATAAGATTGACTTTTAACCCGTAAATACAGACACAATGAGAAAGTCGGAGAAACCTTCTAAATGAAATTGAGAGAGGGACGTAACTTAACCAGGGTTTAAACTGAACGTAAAATTAGATCTCACCAACAGATCCAGTAATTCGACAAGGATTTAAAACATTGATTTCATACAAAAACAGAAACGTAGAAAAATACAGTCCTTAATGCTACGTAATTATTTTTCTACTTCTAGTTACATCTTTTTATACTTAATCAAGAAAGTGATCATGGAGCAGGATAGACCTGAGGAAGGATTCAGACGGGACACCAGGAGTCACTGATTTTCAATTATTTTACGTCACAACCTCTCACTTCATGCTTTTCAATTTGTAAAAAAAATACTAAATCAAAGCTTACCAAGTTCTTATTTAAACAGAAAGTAGAGTAGGAGATAGACGACTCACTGTATTCCCTTATATTATAGGAAGTGTGCGATGGTAAGTGACTGAGCTGGGACAATTTGTGAACAAACAGTATTTTGGTGATATTACAACTGACTGCAACAAATATGACTCTCCGATAATTGTATTAACTTTGAAGAACAAAAATGAAAACTGACCTCTCACCCTTAGTCAGGTACTAATCATTCAAACCCAACAGAGATGAGTGAGTGAGTGAGTGAGTGAGTGAGTGAGTGATAGTGCTGCTTTGAACAGTATCTCGATTATATCACGGTGTGCTACCTTGTGGAATGAAAGCCTAAACTAAGAATGATAATTATTAAATCCTGGCATAGCTAAGGGAAGCAACTCTGCACAAAAAACAGTGGCAACATAGATGACAGGGTAAGACAAGAAAAGTGAAAGGTGGTTGAACTAAACAGAACAAAACCCATGCAAGAGAGAACACCAGAACAACAATCTCCTTATCTATATCCCTGAGAGTAAATCTCAATGGTGTTCATTGTTGCTGTGTGGAGTGAGTGAGGGATCAGCTGCACCATCCCCCTGCAGCCACAGTTGGACAAGAGCCATGAGCTGCACACTGGGGGGTATCATGTCTTTGTCCCATTAACCAAAGCGATCTCTACACAAGGACCATTGTATTTGTTTGTTTATTTGTTGTTTAACGACGCACTCAGCAATATTCCAGCTATATGACGGCGGTCTGTTAATAACTGAGTCTCGACCAGACAATTCAGTGATTGACATCATGAACATCAATCCACGCAATTGGGATCAATGACATGCATCAACCAAGTCAGCGAGTCTGACCACCTGATCCCGTTTGTCACCTTTTACAACAAGCATAGTCGCCTGTTACAGCAAACATGGGTTGCTGAAGACCTAGTCTACCCCAGATCTCCACGGTGCTCGGAATGTTGTAAGCCTTTACTAAAGTACTGGAGTTCTGATCATCGTGAGAAAAGGCCTGGCCCTTCAGCATGATAGACTGATGTGACCCCTGAATGAAGCAATTTTACAGTTATATCTGGCTTCTGATTGTTCTACACTTGAGAAGCAAAACCAAACCAAACAAAACATACTTGCAAAGAAATTTACAAAAATTAATCGCATATAGTCATCACCAGACAATTTGAATTTGACACAATCAAAATTGATGTTCCAATGAGATCAGTTTCACTTTTGGAGAAAAACACAAAATTAATATCTTACAGATTCCCAGGATTTATCTTTGCAAAAAACGTCGGTGATAAAACTCTTAAACCCAATATCTATCTGTAAATCTTCCGAACTTCTAAAACAAATTATTACAATATTCAATACTTGAGGTTGTTTGAAAAAACATGAAAGGTTTTGACAGTGAGTGAGATCATGACAGAACACGTCAATATCAGGAAATTAACTCAGACGACAAAAAAGAGGATGATGTGATATAGGGACATCAAACAGCAACAAGCCATAAAGGACGAGGTACTCACTTGCATCCAAATACGCTGCAAGAAGGAAAACGTAGAAGGAATATTAATATCAACGACAACAAATATTTCATGGTGAAATCGACGCTGATCAATACTAGAGGTCCTGTAATCGACATTTATTACCAACCAGGAGAGTAATACCTCATAATATTGGCACCAACAGCTTTTTAGATTTGATTCTAAATTGAGTTTTGATTGTAGAACATCCAGAAAACATTAATTTCCAAGAAGTTTTAAAGAAACATTGCCAGCCTCATCAGTCAAGTCTGGTTTTTTTTGTCTACAGAATGATTTATGGCTTGCAGAATTTCATAGCACTCGGAGTTCCACTATGAAAGTTCTACTAAAATGTATTCACAGTGGACATTATGATGCTTGAAGTATAGTAACGTTTTTCCCTCGGACAATCAATTTAACTTTGTAATTGAAACCGATGGATCCCTTATGAAAATCGTTTTTCTCTGCACTTAACACTCTCTGACACTTCATCAGATCAGAATGAAGGTGTTGTCAGAATATTTTATGAAACACTTAGGATCTGCACTGATATTTTTTCTACCTTGATCAAACATGGTTATTTCCTTTTCTTAACCATCATTTGTAAAACTACATGTACCGTGATTGCCTTTCAATTGAGTATTCTTAGTTTTCTGGTGATAAACCCAGAATTCATTTTGCACTTCAAACTACACTTTTTCTTTAAATAATGGACCAACTCGCCAAGTTTGACCAAGTGGAGAATTTAATTTCACAAAAGCGGAATGCACTTGAGAGAAGTGGAGATTTGTGTCGGGGAACTTCAGTGAAATGTACAATGGCAATTTCATATCTGAATGAAATTGACAAACATCACAACACGTCATTAACCTCCTAATGATGTTTCCCTGTCATGAAGTTAATATCTTGAGATGTGAACTGCTTCAAAGAGAACACTTAACTTACGATTACCCTGGTGACTTGTACAACAAACTGGTTATCAACCACCAAGGCAGCATGTACATTTCTCCCACATCGGAAATCTTAGTGCTTGTTGATTTCAAGCCTTTCGTTATCAAGGTCAAGTTTACAAATAAAATTCACTCTTTGATAGAAATTCACCCTCAGTCTTATAGTGATCTTGTGAAGATAATTCTAATATGTACTGGGTAACCCGAAACCTCACAACAAAAGTGCCATGGAACATGTTTGGTAGGCTTGCACAAGTCTCTAATGCAATACAATTGTTTTTAGTTTGAATTATAATTTCTTGATTATATAAATAATAACAAATTGTCCCTATAAAAGACTGCCGTCCATGTGGTCAGCTATCGAAACTTGCCTATAATAAGGATAGAATTACAATACATCCATGGACGTATCATTCAGTACAGACTTGGACAAAGGCTGGATGTTTGGCTGAAAGATCTCTACACTGCGAGTTGAACATCCCATGACAGATAATGTATCCATCTTTTGAAACTGACTAAAAGTGAATGAGTGAGTGAGTTTGGTTTTACGCCTCTTTTAGCAATATTCCAGCAATATCACGGCAGGGGGACACCAGAAATGGGCTTCACACATTGTACCCATGTCGGGATTCGAACCCGGCTCTTCAGCGTGACGAGCGAACGCTTTAACCACTAGGCTACCCAACCGCCCCTAAACTGACTAAAAGCATTACTAGAGGGATATACATATTTTTGGGCATGACACTGTGTTACCCTTACAATGCATGTTTCAATTAGTCACCAGGACAATGCAATATACTGAGGTTTGCTTGATCTTCTATTGTTTGACACAGGAGATGTAGCAGAACTATTGCCTGTACAACTGTGAATGGGTAGTTGACAGAGAAGAGAACCTCTGTTGAAAATCTTACATTGTGTTTGTTTGTTTAACCTGCACTCAGCAATATCCCAGCTATATGACGGCAGTCTGTAGTGATTGATATCATGAGCATCGATCGACGTAATAGGGATACGATGACATGCATCAACCAAGTCAGTGAATCTGTCCATCTGATCCCGTTCGTCGCTTCTTATGGCAAAAATGGGTTGCTGAAGACCAATTCTAACCAGGTCTTCACAGTGTATGTACTTGGGGAGCAGAATGTGGTGTTGGTAAGCTTAATGAGTTCTTCAACACAATGTGATGTCATGAACAAGATTGTGTGTGGGTAACTACTGGGCTATCTATGCTTCTGCTCCACACACCAGACGTGAAGATACAATATTCTAACACAGGAAGTTCTCTATAATAGACCTTGGAGACCCCCTTTAAGAACTGTAGGCATCAAGCACAGTCTTGATCTATTCACCCAAGGTGAGATGTGGAGATTGTTACATGATGGGTTATGGGTTAAGGGGCTCACAATTTGATGTTTTTTTTTTTTTTAAATCATCTGTGTTTTAGATTTAGTTGGAAAAAAGTAATGACAACTGTTCAATGAATTGTTAAAAAGAAACTCATTTGACTCCTCTTTTTAGAGAAAAACATCAAAGATCATTTTGAGGTGTGGATAGCACCACCTTAGCACAAAGACCAATTTATGGATAGCACTAATTAAGCACTGAGATCCTATTGAGGTATGGATATCACTAACCTAGCACTAAGATCACACTGAGGTATGGATAGCACTAACTTAGCACTAAGATCATACTGCTTTGTGAATACCACTAACCTAGCACAAAGATCATATTGCTATATGGATAGTACTAACTTAGCACTAAGATCATATTGGGGTATGAACAGCACTAACTTAGCACTAAGATCATACTGCTTTATGGATAGCACTAACTTAGCACTAGACACTGTTAGCATGGTGCCACAAAACATGGTGCCATTCCTTCATCAACCATCTCTGTTATTAGTAACATTTAGATAAAACTTCAATCACTAGAATAAACATCAAACCATACATACCAGGTGCAAATACACCCCCAGGAGTATTTTGGACCATATACGGAAGGTCTGGGTCCCCCTCTCCGTCAGAGAACTGTTGGCGTCGACAACAGGTGTCTATATCAGAGTAGTTTCCCCTCTGTGAGGGGCCGAAGGATTTCTGACGAGGCAGTCCGGGACTGCGTTGTGGAATGTCTTCGATGGGTGGGGGCGGCGGTGGGGGTAGCGTTGGGGGAGGTAGGGGTACGGAACCTGCAACAGAACCTGTGAAAGTGAGTCCTCTGACATGGAGATACTGTAGTTATGTAAATAAACAACAAGCCGTCACTGGACGGCTACCTGCATCTCCATATCTGTAACAAGGAAAATATACACAAATTTCATCGTTTATTTGCACTGGTATTCCTCAGGACATATCATATCACCAAAGTTATTTCAGTATGTTTGAACCATTCATTCTTCCATCTATCCATTCTTCCCCTTTTTTCAACCATCTGTCAATTAATAAATCTGCACTTTGTCCTTCTTCCATCATTGTATCCATTATATTTGTCAATCCTTCCTTTCCTGTGTCCTTTCTTTGTTTTTTTTGTCCATGAATATGAAAACCTAAACTCAAAGCTGAGTCATCCAAGTTTGACACAAGTGCCGACATCAGACCAAACAGCAGACAAGACTACCAGGATGAGGAAGGCAGATTGTCTAAAAGAACATACCACGATAAAGTATTCACAAGATAGAACTGTATATTTTCTTTGTGTCAACCTTTGTCTGCCTTACACCTCTTCTTTATTCAGCCACTCAACTCCATCCATCCATCCATTCACCTGAACCAACCACATGGACCCTCCAAAATGTTTTGCTCTCCCAGATGGCAATTAAGGTGAAACATTAGCCAGTGCTGGACAAATGCTACGATGCAACATCGCCCATCAGTAAATTACATGGAGAGAGAGATAGCTATACTGACATTCAGGTGAGGTGCTTCATACATGTCTCACAAGGCTTTGAAGCCGGTAGGAGTTACACACTAACATTAACACCTGCACGGTGCATTATGGGATACCATATGTTCAGGAAAGCCTTTCTGGAAGTTAGGCGAGAGAATGGTCTATAAACACACGATGGTTCTAAGGAAGGTAGTCCTGGATGTTTTTCACTTCTCAGACAATGATGGTCATTAGCAAGAGCTCTGAATCCCAATACAAAACCAGAACAGAGACGTGGAAAGCCACAAGATCCGTCGGCCCATTTCATTCTCTTTGTGTTAAGAACATGAAGGTACTGTAATGTTTTCCTTAAATGATTTTTTAATGTCTGGGATTGGAAAATGGCTGATCACATGCTACGGTTAAGTTGTTCATCAATGAGAACAACATGCAAAGATATTCTACTCATACAAACTGACATTTAAACTTTTTGTTGTAAAATTTACTTTACAGAATTGTGAGTAAGTGAGTGAGTGAGTGAGTGAGTGAAAGTGAGGTTGACGCCGCTTTTAACAGTATTCCAGTTATATCGCAGCATGTCAGCTTAATGTGGAAGGAAAGCCTGAAGTGATGCAGGTATCAGACGTTTACCACTTTGATGAAACCCACGAGCGCGGGTATGATGCTGACCGACCTAGGTTTCTGGCGTGCCCAGGGGACGCAACTCCGCACAGCGAATCACGGCACCTTGGACAACTGGGCCACCCGTGCCCCCTTTCAGAATTGTGACAACTCTTAACAGCGTTAATGACAGCCAAGAAACAGGAGTTATGGCAGTGATGTAAAAGGGGTAGGATATTCACAGGAATTAATTACTTTTCAGATGTGTAACAAATTATAAAACAATAAAGACACAAAGTAAGAGCAAGATGTTTTTATAAATATTTGTTGATAAAAGTTTTATGAATGAAGAAATGGCAGAGATAATTTCTTGGAACAATATTCTTAATCTCAGCCGAGCAATCAATCACATATGCATCACAGAAGCACATCTGCAATAGACATGCAATGAACGACCAGGAGATACTAAAGTCACCGTCACTGATGGCAACACAACTGATGGACAGATTACCCAGCAGCTAACCAACTCTCCATCTCCCCCTACCACCTGTGTCCATCATGTAATGTTTCAAAATCTTTCAAGTGTTTGATTTGATGAGCAAATTTCATGCGTGCCTTCACTGGGCATGACTCATAGCAGACAACGAGGAATGGGGAGGCAAGTCGTCCATTTTGTTCACGGGTGACACGACCCCTACGCAGGCATGACACCATTCTCTTTGGGTTTGATACATAAAATATGAACAATATCCGTCAAAATTGCAAGTGGATATTTTCTCTGAGGACGCATTTTGTAATTGATTTCACAACTTTTTTTGACAACTCCCTTTCAGCAAGGGTGGTGATGGGGACATGACATGAAGGATTGCATACACTTTACCCCTAAATTAATTCCCTCACAATAAAACAATGAGAATTATTCAAACTCGTGACTCATAAACAGCAATATTCATCATCGTATACCCATCCCCACAAAATATTCCATTTCATTGACACTGCTTCAAATGAAACGAATACGATTAATTCACAACATATTTCACAAAAGGTGAAAGTGGAAAAGATTAATTGAGGTTGATATTTTTTTGAAAGTAAAAGAACTCATTTAACAAATTTAATGAAGAAATAAATTTAAAAAATATTTCCCATTCTAAATCTAGCTCATAAAATTCATCAAAATTTGAAAATATGAATTTTCATGTTTTCATAAGCTTATCAATCATCTCCTTCAATTAACACTTTCAACCCTAACTCTTGCATAGTCAACTAAAATGATGATGGTCACAGACAAATAACACAAAAAGCAGTTAAAGCAGCAAAAGCAAAGAAATATATATTAATCATAATTTTACTTATGATATATCGCCATCATCACGTAAGGGAGATAACTCTTTTTACATGATATTCTGACTTTGCGTATCATTTTACCCAATTATATTCCATGGCAAACAAGATTAAGATGTTTGCTGTGAATTTCTTACTGCACATTAAAAATTTGGACATAAAATGACGTAGCTGAATGTCTCATCTTCCAACAAGAAGGACAAGTTGATGACGACAGAGTGCAGACTCTACTTCCAGGGTAAGGTGCAGCTGTGTATCATAATCATTCACTAACTTTGGTAAACTAAGGATTGAAAAAATATTGGCCTACTTTATTCATCTGTGAACAAAGAAAAGTCACGATATCACAAATGCAGGGTTTCCATGATGCAGACATGTGCGTCCAGAATGCACAAATTGGAATGGACACAGAAAAAAACACACATTGCAGCCCGCATATAATAGATTCATTGTACCTAATTCTTGACAGAGGTTCTGTCAATAAAGTAATTATCAAACCTTTCACTACACTACATGATTTCATTACTTTACAGGGCCCTCATATTTCTTGTAGGGACCCTTGAAATTAATTGTTGGGGGTCCCCTGTACCCCTAGATTTGTAGGTAACCCACTGCGAATGTATTGTCACGTCAGTGGTCCTGCTGTAGTTCCAGGGCCTCGTTCCACAAAGTGATCTCAGCGCTACGATTATTATAAATATATGTATATGTCTGTTTGAGTATGGGAGCTACGATCGTCTGAGCACTAAGATCGCTTTGTGGAACGGGGCACTGGACAATAGGGTGGTAACTTGTGTTGTGTCTTTAATGAGTGAGTGAGTGAGTGAGTGAGTGAGTATGGTTTTACGCCGCTTTTAGCAATATTCCAGCAATATCAAGGCGGGGGACACCAGAAATGGGCTTCACACATTGTACCCATGTCGGGAATCGAACCCGGGTCTTCGGCGTGACGATTGAACGCTCTAACCACTAGGCTACCCGACCGCCCCATCTTTAGCTTAAACCGATACATATGCAAGGAAGTTGTGATGGTGTCCCTATGGGTACGTTCAAGAGTTCTCAAGCCATTGTTAGTATGATTGAAACCTGTTTACCGAATCTGTTTGATTGGGTATCAATTCCTTTCATGTTGATCTTCCATTCATCATCCTCATCTTACTAACAAGTCCATACCTTATTGCAACAATGCATATAGTTAGAGCCCAACTGGCTAACATTCATTCAATAAGCAGAGAAGACTTAACCTGGCAAGAAACTTATAATTGGAAAGAAGATAACAGTTTCTAATAATTTTCAAATAAAACTTTTATCGGTAGTCTCACATACCAGTCAGGGCAAGGTACAGAGCACACCTTGAATGGTGATTCCTATTGGTATCGAGGTGCCCATTGTGCTAAAAGTGTTCAAGCCTTAAGTATTAATGTTGTGGCATCTCACAACAGATAGGAGAATGGAAGTCAGTAATGCCAGCTCATATTGGAAATCATCACAATTAACGATTTTTTAGTTTATTTCAACGTGAGAGAATTATTCATGATAAATTAGCACCGGAAATGGGCAGATTTTCGGTCCTGATGGGGAAAATATTCATCAAAGTTGTCCAGACGAATACACACGGAGAAGGGACTGCAGCCAATGGTGAAATAGGCGTGAAACTCGGTGAAATAGACGAGCCACTGGAGTTTGTGTAATTGCGGACAGCTTGGCATCAGAACACAGGTTAAATTGACAGAAGGCAGGGGAAATATGGTCACTTAGTCAAGCAGTGACCCAAGTTCTGCAGACCGAAATTTGATTACTTGTGAGAGATTTCAAGCTGTCATCAACTCATCACATTTATTTTTTTCCTCGAAATGTACAATCAATCAACTTCATCTGAAACGCACATCTTGATGACCCTCGGCAACAATGATAAGCTCCCAGCAGCTCATAATATGAGGTGTCAGGATATCTTTGCACCTCGGTCAAGGAAATGGCCAGCGGTCATCTCAGGAGACTCGCGATGGCTGGCCCAACATACATATATCACAAACTGCTACCAGAGGGCGTTACATCAGATCAATAACTCGCAGCACTGTTGAGAAAGTCATTAAGCAAATTTCAAGACGGAGTGTTGGTAATCTCACTGAATCTACCCAACGTTACATACCTCACACAGAAGAACTACAAAGGAATTCCCATCAAATTGACATATTCTCCCTATTTCCCTACCCTCATCAATTTAAATGATATACAGAAATCAACCAAATATCATTAGAGCATGGCATGGTGCCCCCAGGGAGGACATTTCCAGAATCTGAAATTCTTCCCTTACATTAAATCTAGTCAGGGTAGGGAGTTTGCCAACAACCAGCTTGCTCT